TATTTTTTAATAAAATATTATCTTTTGTTTTTTCATAAATATAATTAGTAACAATAAAATAATTTTAATCTTGGTACTTCTGGTATTTTGTGGGCTAGACACCATTTGGGAATCAGTGTTGAGAGTTAATCTTTTAGACAATTTTCATATTTCAAATGGAGATAAGAATTTCATAGCATAATCATGGTAAATATTGCAGCTCTTACGACTTGCAAGTCGGCTGAGGAAAAGTTTATTTCTTTTAAACACAAAACTCTTAATTTTTTTGAAGATTGATATTCTTTACAGCCGGTATAATGTAAATTAGTTTATATTACCTCGTGAACCATTTTCTTGTTCTACAATGATTGTGAAGTTTTATACGGGGTGTCCAAAGTTTAAAGGCCCATTCAGGGTCCGAACGAGATTACCGTATTTTTTACATTGTTTATCTCCGGTCCCACGATCCAAGGATGCGTCAGATTGTTCGTTATGATTACAACTTACGAATCGTTTTATCAATGTAGAAAAATTGATCTCGATAAAATTTGTCTGATTGTTATCTGTTGAGTGACATCTGACAAAACTATCCCTGGCAAGAAAATAAATGAGCTTGGGGTCGACATTTTCTAAATTGTTACATGTGCGAAACTTATTTCTGTCAAAATATTCCCGTTGGGGCGAGGTCAGAAGAAAGAAATGAAAATAAAATCTACCGTGGTGCTTGTTAATTTATAAAAAATTTCAAACGCTTACCAATTTAAAGAAAAATCTTGTTTAATGGTTATAACACTTATTGTAGAGAGAACATTTCCAAGGGTAAACGGAACATTTATCATTAAAAAAATAATCGAAAAATAAATCTCCAAGAAAATAAAACGGGCGAAATAAAAATCACTCCACGCCCTTGCAGATCCCGGCTGCGACCTACTGACCCTAAATTCGGGTTTCTCAGGCGCCGGAGAAATGGCATTAGCTGTCCGGAGGAACAAGTCTTTAAGACAAACTTGTAAATTATTTCGGTTTATATTCGCCTTGGGTGAAACAATCTTTATTTTTGTATCAATCGAGAATCCACCGAGTAAATGAGCAATGCCAGACCAGTCTCTGGAGAAAACTGGGACAGGACGCCTCAACTTGTGCACCGACCAGTTCGTAGAACGGTCTGTTCAATTATTTCACCCTTCGGAAGCTTGTAAGAACTTTATTTCGTTTTATTACAGAGGTCTATTTCTTAAAAACAAATATTCTTCTAATCTGTTTTTTGTTAAATAATATCATGCATTAGAAGCTTTGATAACGAAAATTGTCTCGCCATTGAGCTTGTGATAATCAAAATCATATTTCATCACTGTAGATTTTTAATTTCATTACAACCTATGTCTAATCAAATTAAATGGGCTAATTCTGACAAATTAAAAAAAAATATTTTCATCGATAACACTAATTAATAACACTAACAATTTTGTATATATGATAGTATTAATGATAGGTCAATCAAAGTTGACATACAGCTCGCGTATGTGTCCGGAATGTTGAAAACATTGTTCGATGTATCCCACCTAATTGAAGGATGCAACCCCTTGGCTTCATATAGGGAGCGCGCAGGAAACTCACGATATGAGAATTATGCTTGAGCACGACAGTACGTGGATCTTCTGTTCCGATAAAACGGTTGTTTTATTCTATATATTTTGTGTCATTTTGTGTTTGTTGAAATTGAATGTATTTATTAGTGCGAAAGTGTAGTGTGAGAGGGATACGCAATATTCCGCTATTGACTCACACTCAATTAGGTACCAAATACTCTAACTGTAAATAAGAAAGAATGTCTTTAAGAGTGAGTGGGTGTGGGAATTGATTTGACTTAAGGAACTGATTGTCTTGGGAGCTGTCCAAAGACTGCAACATCCGGGGTGAGTGATTCTCGCGGCCTCAACTCTCTCAACGTACATATGCAGATTTGAACTTATATAAATCGGTTATCAGTAACTTCATTAAGGACCAACAGAGTAATATTCCATTTTATAAGAATAATTGATGTCTTTGATGATATCGCCGCTCTATCAATACAAATAAAGGCAAGTAAAGTATTAGACCTAGTATGCTCCCATGGGGGATTCCCAATTATTTTTCATAGTTTGGAATATTGATTTTCATGTTTGTCTTTAAAATGTCATTTAAACTCAGCGTGATAATTACATACTGCTTTGGTAGCCTGTGTCCCATCGAGGAAAATAGTGGTACAAATTAGCTATTATCTGAATTTAACGGAGACAAAGGGACATTCGACTCCAGGGTTTCAACCACAAGGTGAAAGCAAGGATTCCTGCCGCTAAATTTATCGGCTCAAAACGGAACATGATATTTGTAATGTTTACTTACTTGCTTTGGGATGAAACATATTAATGATAAATAAAACAATAATATTAGGGATAATAATCAATGGGGCGTCAGTGGCGGCAACGGTTAAGCAGTGTAGACACTGCGCTCATCACTGTAAGGTAACGTCCGGGGTTCGAATCCAACGGCCCTTCACCATGGGCTGCATTCTTTTTTCCAAAAACACCGACACCCTGAGGGTTGATATGACTTCTGTTGCGAACCCTCGTAAAATAAAGGGGAAAATAATCAATATCACATCAAGCCTTTATCCATCAGATTTTAAATAAACAAATATCCATCTTACTAGATTTTCTATGATAAAATAATAATAAACGTAGAAAGGTCATCTAACCAAATTTATATTTCTATAAATATTAGTAAACAAGTAATAAAAGAGGTTTTATCTTCACAACTTTTCAACTCATATTTAACTAAGGGGAGTCATTAGTTACGAAGTAGTCATTAATAATCAGTAATTAGATTGTTGTCATTTCTTACTATCTGAGTTTATACTGTGTAGACACGCGTAAACAAAATTCTATTAATATCAACAACTAATAATAATAAAAATTATTATAATTGGAAATACTTAAAAATATTTTTTTTAAATACTCAAACTAAATGGATATATAATAATATTATAAAACAATTGTTGGTATAAAAATATTCAAAATATAAATGATATAAAAACTAAAATTTCTTAACATTTCTTTAGAAATGGGTCGTGGGTCAAAGTAGAACGAATAGTATATAAGAAAAGAGCTCTCTTTGGTATAAAAAATTGGTAGTTATCATAAGAAACATTCATTTCTTGTACAATCAATCAGTATTGACACATAAATGACATGATTAACACATTTTTTCACATCCTACATGTATTCGTAAAAATTAGACCATGTTTATAAATTCCGGGCCCTGAAGATGATCTGAATAAAGATCGAAACGTTGGCAAGATAAAGGAAATGTTTTTCTAAAACCTACGTCAACCAGACCGCATCTCAAGATCTCCAAATAATCATTGACACATAAACTTCATTCAAACAGACATCATTAATTTTCAATCATTATAGAGCATCGCTTGTGGGAAAAACTTAAAATTTTATTAGAAAATAGTGGATCGTAAAACTAATGGCATATGAGATAAGAGCCCTTGTTGATATATCAAATTGGTAGTTATCAAAGGAAAAATTCAGTTCTTGTAAAATCAATCAATATTGACACTTAAATGACATGATTGTCACATTTTTTCACATCTTGCATGTATTTGTAAAATTTAGACCATATTTATAAATCCCAGGCTCTGAAGATGCTCTCAATAAAGATCGAAACGTTGATTGACACATAAAATTCGTTCAAACAAGTACTTCATTTAATTAACAACTACTATGGAGCATCGCTTGTTTGAAAAATTTAATTTTTCTTTAAAAACTGGTGGACCAAATTAGGACGAATGGTATATGACAAAAAACTCGCCTTGGTATGACAAAACAGGTAGTTATCAATTAAAATATTCTGTTCTGTATTAATCGGCTTTTTTAAAGTAATTCCTTCAGAACGTTTTACTTTTTTTTGCTTTGTAAATTAACAACATTGGTCATCAGATCCTTCAAAACTGGTGAATATGGAATCGGTTGGATATGTTGAACGATGGTACGTATCGTTTAATTACTGTTTATAAATACAAGTCAATCATGGAAATAATCACTTTTTGAATAATCAGTTGGTAGATTGATTGTAGTAAAAATGATATTTTTTACTGAAAACTTTTATGAAGGAAAATAATCTATTTGAATAATTTAAAGTTCAATCCATGATTGCACGAGGACAAAATGGAGAAGAGAAACACGTTCATGATTCATCATGAATTTTTTAAATTAACTTTTTGAGAAGATTGATTGCGTAATAGAGGGGAAATTGAATTATTTAACATTTGATGTTTGTTGTTTATAAAGACTTTTCGTAAGAGATGACTCGCCTTTTGACTTTTGAGCCTTCCCTCGCGTCTCAACGGACAGACAAGGATGCAATAAAAAACCCAGATAAAAATGAGATAATCGCTACTTTAATCGTTCATTCCGAATGAATCTTTTCGATTAAAGTAAAAAAAAAAATCCCCCGCGACCCGTTCGATACGGGTTTAACCGCAGTGACGTCGTTCGGTTATCCCATTCCCTGTTTACGGCTTCGGTTTGTTTTGGCTTGACGTCAGGATTTTTAAACGGCCCTCCTCCTTTTTACGCCATTTACAAAAAGTAGGTGGCTTCGTTATTTAACGGAATAACTTTTCTAATCGCACTTTCTACAATTTGTGTCGAAAAAATGTCAGTTTGATCCCCGATAACCTCGATTTGGTCACAAGTTTACAAAAAATTAAAATAAATGTTACGACCTCTTTTTTTTTGCGTTATTTAGATTATACTTGAAACCAATCTTTCAGATTATTGTGAAGATAATGAATTTTCCTTAGCTAAAAGATAATGTTTAAGTTTGAAAAATAATTGAACTACTTTTTTTTGCTAATCTTCTTAAGAACACTAGTTAGGTCGGATCAATCATCTTTTCGGGTTATCTTCTGCTTCACTAATCAATCTATTTGTACTAAAATGTTTTATAATATTTGACGTTTTCTTTTTCAGATTTCAATATTCGACAATAAATCGTCTCAATTATTTCGAAGAAGCTGTCACAAATCTCGTTGGATTCCTTTATCGTCAACGGTAAGTGTGAGAAATATCTCGAAAAATTATTTATCCCTTGCTTAGTCCGTTTTGTCACGTTGCCATACCAGATAGGTCCAGTGACTTACGATCCTTGGTCGGATCCCAAGGGTGTACCTTGTCGTAGACAACCACTGCCAATTCTAAAGTATTTTCATTTTCAAAGTCTAGGCGAAACGGGCGCATCCGGATATTATAAAAGCTTTTATATAATTCCAACTAAGAATATTCGACGCTTGAATTTAAAATATTGCTACACATTTAAATTCTCCTAAAGATCGTAAGTGGTTGTAGCTTTCCTTGTAAACTAGACATTTTGAACGCCATAATTGCATGCTTAAGAAAATATAATTAAAAGAAATTTCAGTCTGCAAAATCAGATTTTATATAATTAAAACAAAGAGAAAATGTTATTCAAACTCGTATTTTATCGATATTTGAGCATCTCAAATAACTAAGCAGCTCTTGTTGCTGTAGCAATTTAACAAAATATCACATTTATAGATTTTTTGCAAATAAAAAATTTAAATACTCTATCAAAAGAATGGAACCTTCGGTTTGTAATAAACGTAAGTATTTTTTCGAATATGGCCTTCAACTAACAATAAGTTAATTGGAGATTTCGCTGTGTGGTCTGCGGCGTGGTGAACCTCTAATTTGGTCCGACCGATCATTTTGGTCTGTCCATCCTCGCTGTCTTGTATATCAGAAGCGTTTCGGCATTCCGCCATCTTCTGTCGTCTTCGCCAGGGCCAACGTAACGAGAATAGGTACACGAAATTTATCGGTAACGACCAAATTAAAATTAAACCTGTACAACTATTTTTTAACAATTTCTTGATTTATACAGTTTTTGGACGATAAAAAACGTTAAAGATTGTATTATAAGCATATCAATATACACTTCCATATAAAAAAATAAAAAATTAATTAATTAAATAAAAAAACTAATCACTTGTTGGCACATAGAAACTTACTCAGGGAGATTATGAAACTCACTATCTTTCAAATCACCTTTAAAAAAATTTCAATTAATTAAGGTTTTAGTTGAGATAAAAACCTTAATTAATTGAAAGATATTCATTGGTCCTGCGGACCACGAAACTAGTAAATTTAAAAAAAATCTTATAAATAATCTAATAAATCAAACTCTTAGTCTTTCGCATACAGATAAAATAAAATACCCTAATTAAATGGATATTCGAATAATATATACAATAATACAAACCATTGTGGTATAAAAATATTCGAAATATAATTAAAATTAAAAATAACTTAAAAACAAAAACTCAAAAAAATATTAATAACCCAGGTCAGAGCTCAAAGACTGCAAATAGGAAAAAACCAAAATGGAAATAATATTAAAAAAATTTCTTCACTTACTTATATCAACGCAATATCAGAAAAAAATAGTAAAAATATTTAAACAGAAATGTGGTGTTGATTACATAAAATTTGGTTTTAAATCTCAAAATAAAATCAATGTTTTATACCTCCAATAAAAGATAATGGAAAAATAAATAAAAATCATAATGTAATTTCTAAATTAATTATGATCAATTCGATAAAATATTTATTCGTCATGCAAAAAATATGGGTAACCGGATAAAGAACTATACCAATGATACAAAATATAAAAAAATAACAGTCCTTTCTCAACAAATAAATTGTTCCAAACGTACTCCCGATAGAAAAAACCCAACCATTTTGGATTTTGAACAAAACCATTTTAAAAGACAAATCTTAGAATGCGTATATATAAAAAAAAATAGTTTAAAAAAACTAAGTCAAAAAATGACCGACCAAATGTCCCATTATATTCCGATATTAAAAAAATCATAAAAATAACTTATTAAATTTATTTTTAAAAACTAATTTTAAAAATACATAAATAAAATAAATAAAAAATCTAATATTTTAACTTTTGGCGCAAAATTAATATAATATAACACGGGAAATTCCTTCCTGGGAATTCGTCTTTAATATAAAATAAAAATGCTGAAAAATCTAAAGTAAATTAAAATTATTATGAATAAATGTATAAGAGAACAAATAGTAAAAGTACACAAAAAAATTATATTTCTAATTTTAAAATATGATTTTAACAAATCTGTGCACTTAATTGGTACATTCTTAAATCTGCGGCCTGTCGACATATGTTTTTCAATTTTTAATTAAATATTCCTCAGAAATAATACAAAAATGTATATAAATAAACCTAAATTATGATGCAAGATGGTCAAATCTTTTAAAATAAAATATAGATATTAATCAATTAGAAATTTAGTGCAATATAAGGTAAGCTTTTAATAAAATTTTGTGAAATATGAATATCAATGTTACAGTTACATCTTTTTATAAAAAATACACATACTAATGATGGTTATAAATTCCCGAACCATCAAAATAAAATATACGTAAGTAATGTACTTACGTTTTTATTTTTAAAAAAATTTATGGAATTGTTTTCTAACATAAACCAACAGAAAAATAAATAAGTACAAAAACAGTCAGATTTAGGAGTTTTTATTTTAAATGCTTAGATGCAAAAATTTAAAATGTACACAAACGTTGAGACCAAAAAATTTCAACCGCAATTGCTTTTTTACTTTCGTTATAAGAGGTGTTCTCAGTTTACTGTTTTATCTCCAATGTGAAGAATTTCATTTGCCCTTTTAACAAGATTATGTAAAAATTGGAGTTTACTTTTGTCAAAAAGAGCATACAATACTGAGATGTTCATATTTATCGTGCCTTTTTTTAAAAATTATCTTTCTTTCACGCCACCAGGCATAACAGCAAAAAAAAGTCATTACATAATGACCCAATGTTTATTTTTTCCCTTGTAGATAAGTGAACGAGATTCACACTGAATTCATTACAGCGGGGTGGAATAATTGAGAACAACTCGGAAGGTGGAAAATATTCAATTCTTAACTGTTTTATGCGACGAGAAAGTCATTTTCATAGGGCATCGGAGCAAAAGAGCTTTTCTTTTTCTTTTTCGACGCGTTTGGTATTTCCTTTTAAGAACTTAGGTATTCAGGGCGGGAAGTGAATTTCTATTTTCATTCAAGACCCGTTTACTACGTGCCATTTAGTACAGGAGAGGAACGGGAAAAATAAGTTTGAGCCTAATCCAAGAATCCGTTGAAACGGACCAAGAAACAGGCTCCTTTCATACCCAGACGCTAGCAATTACGAGCCCGCGAAATCGCAGGGGGAATTTTTCTATCACCTTTTAAAGATATTCCTCTCAAAGGTTGAAATATCTAATTTAATTTGACTAACAAGATCTCTAATTCTTTGAATAAATATGCAAACTAATTAAGAATCCTGGTAAACTGGCAAAGGGTCACTTATTGGGTCCGTCATGAGCAATTCAACAAACCCGCGTGTGATGACGGACCCAATAAGCGACCATATGCCTGTTCAGCTTAAGTTCACCGACTCTCAGACCAACACCCATCAACTCTAATTAAGAATCGTTTGGATAATTTGATACATGCTCAGCCATTTCTTAGAATAGAAAGTTTTGAAAGCTTTTGAAAGAAGACGCTTTTCAGACCCTGTAAAAAATACATCCGTAAAGAAACATACTCTTTGATGTACCGAAATCTTTAGATAAGCTCAGTTGATAATGTTTTGGATCCAAAAAAGAAAGTTATTTTAACTTATAAATATATCAAATTGAGCAAAAATTTTGAAGTGAGATTTTTTGCTGTACCAAAATTGTTAGTTTTCAATAAATAAGTGTAATAAATATAACCTCCAGAAAATGTTTTTTCTTTTTTAAGTTTTCCGAAATAAAAACTTGTATTTTGAAAGACACTCATTGATGTACCAATAATTGGTGGATGAGGGTAGAAGATAATGTTTTGGATAAAAAAAATAAAAATTATTAAACCTATTAATGAATTTAAAAAAAGCAAAAATGTTGGAGTATGAAGGGCACATTTTCTTGTACCGATAATTGGTGGATGAGGGCAGAAGATAATAGAAGAAAAAGATAATAGAAAGAAAAAATTTCAATTTTTTTAAACCTATAAATGAATAAAAAAGTAAAAACCTTAGAGTATAAAGGATCCACTTTCCTGTACCGATAATTGGTGGATGAGGGCAGAAGATAACGTTTTGGATAAAAAAAATTCCAATTTTTTTTCAACCTATAAATAAAAAAAAAATAAAAAAGTTAGAAGGGCACTACCAATAATTAGTGGATGAGGGCAGAAGATAACGTTTTGGATAAAAAAAATTCCAATTTTTTTTCAACCTATAAATAAAAAAAAAATAAAAAAGTTAGAAGGGCACACATTCTTGTACCAATAATTAGTGGATGAGGGCAGAAGATAATGTTTCGGATAAAAAAATTACAATTTTTTTTCAACCTATAAATAAACAAAAAATAAAAAAAGTTAGAAGGGCACACATTCTTGTACCAATAATTAGTGGATGAGGGCAGAAGATAACGTTTTGGATAAAAAAATTACAATTTTTTAAACCCATAAATGAATAAAAAAAGCAAAAACCTTAGAGTATGAAGGGCACACTTTCCTGTCCCTATAATTAATTGGTGGATGAGGGCAGAAGATAATATTTTGAACAAAAAAAATTACAATTTTTTAAACCTATAAATGAATCAAAAAAGAAAAAACGTTGGAGTATGAAGGACACACTTTCTTGCACCGATAATTGGTGGATAAAAGAAGTTTTAGTATTTTTTAATCAAAAAATGACAATTTTTCAACCAACAAACAAATCAAAATAAGCAAAAACTTTGGGATGCCAATATTTGGTGGAAGGACAATTTTTTCAACCTGTTGTGTACTAAAATTAGTAGTTATAAATGTATTTTTTCATTAATTAATAATTCTTTTATAAAAACATTTTAAAAATTAGTTTTGAACTTGACATTGTATAGTATTTATTGAAAATTGATGGTCCCATGAATAATTTGTAAATAAACAAAAATATAATTCTATGGTTCCTGGTGGCCCAAA